AAAAAAAAACACCAGAGTCCCGAGCAACACTCGAACGAAAGAGTCTGCATGCCTTCACACCGCAAGTCGTTTGCGTGCTTCAAACGTCTCAGCGATCAAACCACTACAAAAGGCTAGCCACCGATCCGTGGAATGTGCATAAGCAACCCGCAAAGCTACGAAAGAACCAGACAAGCATGCGTAGATACCAGAACCACTAGTCCGGCAACAGCCAGAAATCGAAGACGTGCTCCACCTATGGCCCGCTCCCCCGCCACGCTCAACCGACACTTGTACGCCTTCGAGCTGTTCGACTGCACACGTGAGCATGTCGTTCACAGAAGCGAAATGCCTGCAGACAGGCCAAGCCAGCCATGGAGCAACATCGAGCAGCGCAACGCCGGGCCCCGCAGCCGACTCAACGATCGAGCCACGTCAGTTAACCGACGCCACGCCTGCAACAGGCATTGACCGAGGAGATCCGCATGACAGCGAGCCAACGACATCGGCCTCCCATCATCGTCTACAAGGAGGCACGGCCGACCAAAAAAAATGCAGCACACAATATGCACGACAGCAAGAAAACCTGACGTGAGCCGAGGCCATCCATGGGGCGTGGCCGTCATCCATGGCACAACAAATCCAGCTCTACGAACATAGGCTCAGGCAAGCGCTGCAGCGAAGAAAAAAAAGTATGGCAGCAAGCGAAATCCCACACACCAAGCCAGGATGCTCCATCTACACGGGGACGTACTCGAGCTGCCAAGGGCGCCTGCGCCCGAGTCGGTCCGCATGTCGCATATAAAAAATAAACATCGTCAGACCTGAAGGGACAGAATGACGTGGAAAGAAGCAAAGGACATCGTGCGCGCCACTCGCGTGACCAGAACCGCAGCACAAGTCAGAGTGCTCGCGACCCCGAGGTGCACCTTCTCGAGGCCCGCGACAAGCACAGCCAGCGCCGCGCTGACGGCACCTCGCAACGGCACTGCCCGCTGATCTGCGGTCGACTTGCCAAAGTGCTGTGCGAAATGCTCCAAAAGGCAAGAAAAAAGACACAAGCAAAGTCTAGAGAAGAAAGAAGAAGGACCTCACGAAACGCAGATTCAGAGACGCCGGCGGCCTCTTCTGACGTGGCTCAGACTTTGTGCAGACTCGATACAGACTCAAGCCCAGCCGACGGCAACAGCCACACAGTAAAAAAAAAAACGAAGCCAGGAACAAGACAAGTCACCACAAGAGCATAAAAAAAAAACTCGCGCCGCATGTTGCACTTTCGGGCCGTCTCAGGAAGACAGCTCTGGAGCTGTCCACTGTCGGACTGCGCCCCTCTTTCACGATGCTGCCAACCCAGAAAATCTGGGTTTTGGCACGCAGCAAAGAGGGCCTGGTGCTTCACAACCGACTTCTGACGGGCAAGGAATCCTTGAGGTTGCAAGGATTTCCAGAAGTCTCGGAGCTGCAGGTGACTGACCACCAGCAGCAAGACCTTGGTGGCAACGCCTTCGCCAGCACAATTTTGATGGCATTGTTTCTGTCGCTATATTCCCACCTTCCGCAATACATGTGGACCGACAAAGAGCAAGAAGAAACGGCTGCAGCTGATGATGTGGAGCGGTTGCTTTGTGATATAGACGACCTGGACTAGTTCTAGCGCCTCCTGGCAGCAAAGGGCCGCGTGTACGGCTGACAGCCAGTTGGACAGCAGGGCGCACTCCCGTGGCGCGGCGGTGGCATAGCTGCCCCCACTGCCTTGGCTGTGAAGCTGTGAACTCGCCCTGTTTGAGTTTTTGGACGTTTGAAGGCCTGTAGGGCCGAACCACGAGCACCACGTCTTTACACAGCTGAGTGCGAAAACCGGTGAGTGGGTGACGGTGCGTGCTTTGATTGAGCAAGTGAGCAGCTTGACAGGCCGGCTGTGGTACAGTGTTCCGACGTCACGTTCAGTTATGTTATGTTATGTTCAGTTCTGTCATTCTGTCTTCATGCTTGGGAACTCCGTGTGACATGTGACATGTGACATGTGGATGCTTCCATGGGCTCAAGTCAAAGTGGCCCCAAGTTGAACTATCTATCAGTCTATCAGTAGTGAAGTCAAGTCTTAGGAGTCTGACAGACGTCTACAGTCCTCTGGAGAGAGCCTGAAACGCAGTAGGTGGTAAGACTAGGCTGACGAGAGTTGCCTGGCCCTGGTGAGCAAGTGCGGACGGGGGCCGCTGCGCTGAAGTTGGCTGCGTTGTTGTTGTTGTTGTGCTCGGCTGCCAGCCTGTTTTGTGCTCAGCTTTCAGCCTGTTGGGCACTCGGCTGTCACCTTGTTGTGTGCTCGCCTGTCTCTCTCGGCTGTCAGCCATGGACGAGGACTTGAAATCCGTCGCCGGCCGCTCAGAACGCTCAGAGGGGGCAAACACTGCTTCGACAGCTCTGTGTCAAAACTCCGCCGCCGGGACGGTGGTAGACGGACAAGTCTTCTTGAAGGTGCGCAGCTGCATCGCTTGCGGTCGCAAGAACTGCGACCTAAACGAAATCAGGGCAGGCTTTTTGTCGAAAAGCCGCTTCACAGTGTGGCATAGAGGCACCCCAGAGGATCCTCAGTCCAAGCACGACAGGGTTTGCCAGCTCACGTACCAGCACGGCGCCTTCGGAGACGAATCCATCGAAGAGTTTGTCAACAATCGGATGAAAAGAGATCCGCAGCTGCAGGCCGAGTTCATAGCAGCTCGAGGTGCCATGCTGGAGCTGCTCAACGAAGGCAAAGCGCGGTTCAGGGGCAAGACAATGGACTCCGCCAAGCAGCGCCTGGAGCTTGCCAGAAAGAAGTCTGTGGAGGAGTTCAAGGAGGCTTCGACTGAGGTGGTGACGGGCTACGTGTGCTGGGACCGGGCGCTCTTCGAGAAGGAGCACCCAGGCCTCATAGAAAAGAAGGGTTTGAAGGTGGCGAAAAAGGTCATAGACGGAAAAAAACGGGAGGTCGTGATGATCAGGAAAAACCGCGAGGGCATCTGGGACGTGAACGTCACCGAGAAGACAGGTGTTCGACAAATGGAAGAAATCGACAACGGCGAGCACGAGATCCATGAGGGTCAGCACAGCTTGAAGTTTTCCTCCTCAAAGAAGCGCCTGCACAACGCACTTGCCGAGAAAGCGAACGAGTCAAGCGTGCTTGCGGCTGACAGCCAGGAAGACCTGAAGGACAAAGCGCTGCCGAGGCTGGCTGAGTCTTCGGACGAGGACGGCGACTACGGGGTGAGGAGCACTTTGCTGGACGAGGGCGATAGTCCGCCAAGGAAAACCCAGCGGCCGAACCCAAGCAGCGGCAGTGGTGCCAACTTGCCTGCGCCCAAAAACAAAGCCAGAGGCGGACAGCAAGCGCAGAATCCGATTCCTGCTGGCAGCAAGTTTCCCGATTCTGCTGTCAGCAAGCATCTGTCAAGTGAGAGGCGGGAGTCTCGAGAGCAACCTCCAGGACCTACAGACAACAAAGCGGAGACAGCCGGCCGAGGCCGGCCGAACAAGTTTAACAACAAGACGCCGGTGGAAGTCCTGGAGTCCAGCGGCCTGGTGGAGGTGAAGACTTGCCGGCAGAGCGTGCAACTTGCCAGCAACAATTTTTTCTGCTCAGAGTCTTGGAGTCTCAGTCCCAGTCCGAGTCCTACTTGTATCTGTAGTCTGCAGTCCGTGGTCCGTATATATAATTTACATAGAGTCGAGTCATACAGAGTCATCATACAGTCATACAGTCATGCGTTGAGTCATACATACAGTTATCTTGGGGCATCATCCAAGGGTGGACTTCTTGTCGAGAGACATCTTGAACAAGCTTTGCACAGATGTTGAAACAACGGAAGTTTACAAGAAGACGGTCAGCGTCAACGAAGTTGATATACCTTTCTTTGGGTGGGGCAGCGAGGTAACGAGCGGTTTTCCATTTGTCCAAGCTTTGGTTGCTGACATTCCAAACCAACAACAACAGTTCTGAATCTTTTGTATGAAATCGTCATGGAATTTACATGATGACTTTTGTACTTTTTTATGGAACAACGTCCGTTCCTTCATGTCGACATGATTTCACTTGTAAACTTGTACATGCTTTGAAGAGAGTGCCCGTGCACCGTTTTCGCATCAAGCTCGGGCAATCGTATTGCGAACTTTTTCTTGGTGGGTCCAGCCATGGAAGGCAGTACTGCTTCCAGTCGCTTTCTTTGCTGTGCCGAACATTACGATGTTGTACGGCTAGTCTGGATCCACATGTCTCCAGCTGATCGTTTTTACTTTCTGCGTGTCAGCTGGCGTCTTCGAGCTTGCTTCTTCTGCGCTCAACCTTAGCCAATGAACCATCAGATGCCATTCGAAGCTTCTGAGATGGAGGGGGGTGATTCGGCAGAAGCTCCTTGGGATGATGCGGCAGGTTCGTTCGGCTTAGCTGAGGAATCTGATGACTCATGGGCTAATCCGTCTTCTGAGCCGGCTGCGGCCGTTACCTCTATATCTGCTCCGATGACTCATTCCCAGCCTTCATCGTCATCGGGGGTGCGATCGGAATTGCAGATGGGTCATGGTCAGAGAATGTCTTATGAGAATTTCTTGGCATCGGCCATAAGCAGGAGCATCTCCGAGTCTGCTCCGAAGTTTCCGTGGGAGCAGGGCATTTGGGCTGCTCTGCCGTCTCATTTGAAGCCAACACTCAAGCATCACTCTGTGGGAGTCGGAGATCTTTTTGTTCCTTCTGCTCAGCCGGCTGTGATGGCCCCGACTTCCATGCCTAAGCACTCGTATCCGGACTTCGTCAGGAAGAGGCTTCGTCTTAGCAATCTACATCGTGATGAGTCTGAGGTCCGTGCCTTGCAGCTGAGAAAGCTTCGTACCATTGTCCTTCAGGACCCTTCTTCATCAGAATTGGGTTGTGCCTTGGTCAACGCGGCCGGGGCCCTTCAGGACGAGGAAGTGGTGGCCCGCAGCTTCCGCGATGCATTTGTTTCGAAGAGCACCGGCACTCTTTTAAAGCGAGTTTCTTCTTTGTGGAGCTGCTGCTGCTTCCTCAACGACAAAGGGGTTCCTCCTTTGGATTTCCAGGAGGAGATTCTTTATGAGTACCTGAGCCTTCTTAGGGAGCAGAAACGGGGAGCCACGGCCGCCTCGTCGGTGCTCTCTGCCATCAGATTCATTCATGGGGTTGTTAAGATCAAGGGTCTACCGAAGGAGATCGAGTTTTCATCGCGGTGCGAAGGTCTGGCTCGTGGGGAGATGGCTCGGAAGAGGCCCACCAAACAATCCGAGGTCCTCACGGCTGACCAGGTGTGGGCCCTCGAGAAGCACGTGGTTGAGTCTGCCCCCAGCTTGGATTCGTTGATAGGGGGCCAGGTCCTTTTCGCCCTCTACTCGTGTGCTAGGTGGGATGATTCTCTCCATCTGGCTGATATCTCTCTTTCGAGTGCTGGTCGCATCTACTTGGTAGAAACTGCAACTTCAAAACACAAGACTTCGCATGCTGCACGTGACAGGTCGATTTTGCTCCCCCTGATATGTTTAGGGAGGGGCCTCTACCATAAGCCGTGGGCGGATGCTTGGTTAGCTTCGCGCCGTCTCTTCGGCCTCGACTCGACGGGCCCTGCTTTGCCCACTTACTGCGAGAGGACTGGCGAATTCGGCAAGGCGCCTATGTCTTCCACCGAGGCTACTTTGTGGCTTCGCGACCTCTTGTGCAAGGCGGAATCGTCGCCCAGCGAAGTCGAGGGCATCACATCTCATGGTTTGAAGGCCACCCTTCTCTCATGGATAAGCAAACATGGAGGGTGGAGCGAGCGTGACCAAAAGCTGATGGGCCACCATTTCGATAGGGAGTCCAGGTCTGTGCTCATCTACAGCAGAGACAGCTACACTCCGCTCGCCGTCCAGACTCGCCGCTTGTTGGACAAGATCCTCGATGGCTCCTTTTCTCCTGATCGCGGGAGGGCTCGCCGTGTCATGGAGCTTCTAGGTGAGACTTCAGGCGAAGAGGAGGACCCCGACTTAGGTGAGTACGTACCTTCTGAGTCTGGATCCGAGCCGGACTTGAACGACATTGATCCCTCGACAGCTTTTGAGCCGAGTGACCGCGTGAAGGAGATCGCGGTCCCTGAATCGTTGGCTTCGGTTCCTCGACGGCACTTGTATGTCCACAATATCTCTGGGATCATGCACGCAAGTTTTGACCTGCAGAAGCTTTTGTGTGGCCGCCCCCTCAATCGTCATTACTCCTGCTTGGAGGGTGTGACTTCGCAAGAGGGAGACGTGCAGGCCTGCAAGCACTGTAGCGTAGTTTTCTCGAAGGACTGAGATTCGGTCAGGAGCCTAGTTCGAAAATGTTGTGCACATTTTGATCTGACCGGCGCGGGCTTGCTCACGGTGCTGCTCGTACTCTTGACGTGTCCGGGCCCATCAATCTTTGATGAAACACTGCCCGGCATCGTGTCGTTCCCAGGCAATTGGATTCGCTGGGATCGTGCCATCGGAAGGGGACCTAATTCCCTGGCAAATACAGCGGAGGGGGTTTCACACCGTGGTGAAACCGTGCCCCCTCCTTCGGGCTGCAGGAGCTGTGCCATCGGAGGGGACCGAGTTCCCTGGCAAATACAGCGGAGGGGGTTTCACATCGTTGTGAAACCGTGCCCCCTCCTTCGAGATGCGGGAGCTGTGCCATCGGAGGGGACCGAGTTCCCCGGCAAATACAGCGGAGGGGGTTTCACATCGTGGTGAAACCGTGCCCCCTCTTTCGTGTTGTGGGAGCTGTGCCATCGGAGGGGACCGAGTTCCCTGGCAAATACAGCGGAGGGTGCTCGTCTATGACGAAACCGACTATCCCTCATCGTTTCTGGAGCCTCGCTGTCTGCGAAACCAAAGCTTCAGCATCGTGTCGTCTCCTATGCTGTGTGTGACACGCCCTGCACGCCTTCAGTGCGCTTGGCCTGGCATGTGTCATCCATTGAGCCAAACTATGGGCAGCGGCGGCTTACAGCGACCACATAGCTGAGCCATGGCCACCTCCGAGTTGGACTCAGCTGTTGAGTTCAAGCGGCGAGCTTTGCAGCTCGGGGTTTCGGCCACCAGCGTGGATGCCTTGATAAGTGCTGGCTTCACAACGTTTGGGCAGTATGCTTTCAGTGTTCCGTATCAGCCCGGAAATGGCGATGAGACCCCTTTGATCGATCTCCTCACCACTGTCCTGAGTGGAGCACCGGATGCGGGGCAGCTTTCGTGCCTCCGCCGCTTGTTCTGGGAATCTCATGGGCTAGCCATTCGTGATCTACGGCTCAGGCAGGAGCATGGGGCCGAAACAGTTCTCAAGAAGCTCCCTACGTCGGAGCGAGTCGCTCGGTCCGAGTCCCAGCGAGCCCGTCTATCAGGATTGACTTGGTCCCCGGAGACAGAGCCTTCGCATCAGTTAGTGGATCGCTTCGTGACCATGGTGGAAGAGCAGACAGTGACTTACATTCGACCTGAGCTTTGCACCAGCCGCGCCCAGGAGTCTTTGCAAATCAAGCAGGCCAAGACCTTCGCCCTGGGATCAGACGGCCAACTCCGGGTAGCAACAAAGGGGGACGACCTCGAATGCTCCACGGCGGGCGAGTGGAAGCTTCGCATGGCCCTTCAGAGAAAGGCTCTTGCCATGGACCTTGCTGGCTTGGTGAGCTTCCAGGTTGCTGAGACTTGGCACACGTACCTCTACACCGTCCGCGAGCGCGAGGTCCCGAAGAGCATGAAGCAAGTCAGCCTTCAACAAATTCTTGATGCCGATAAGCGCCTTTGGGTCCTCCTTGCAGAAGAAGTTCGAGGGAAGATTGTATCCCGGCCGGGCAGCACGCCGACTTGCCTCAGCTCCTCAAGCGATGTCCTCTCCTACCTCGTCCCTCAGCCCGAGATTCGAGTTCCTTCAGTTCCTCGGTGGGAACCTTACACCCCCAACAACGGAAAGGGGAAAGGCAAAGGGAAGGGGAAGGACAAAGGCAAGACGACGGCCCCTTCGGACTCATCGGCGAACATCTCCGTCCCAGACGGTGCTCACACGAAGACTGCGGATGGCAAGCCTCTTTGCTTCCTATTCAGCCGCGGCAAGTGTTGGGCCAAGAAAAAGCCCGGACAACGGTGCGCCAAGGGATATCACCTTTGCTGGTTTTGCCTCAAAGAGCATGCCGGCTGCGATTGCCCGAACAAGGGCAGCTGACTCAAGGAATCCTCAGATGATCCTGCTAGATCTCGAAGTCCACCTCCTCGGGATGGGAGCCAATCTTCTGACACCGCCGAATCCTTTGCGGAGAGCCTTCTCAAGCTGGATCGGTCAGTGACTGCCGAGGATGTTGTAAAGCTTTTCGATTTCCTTCCTAAGGAGGTTTATAGTGGGTCTCGGGATCAAGGCAACAGCACCGGTGGGTCCTTTACCACTGGACTCTACTGCCGGGTCAAGGTTTCACTAAGACGTAATTCCCAGCTGTATCCGAATTCGACAGCGGTCCTTTGCAAGTTCGTTCGCCAGGTTCATGCCGATCACATTTTCACATCAATCATTCTATTTGACTCCGTTTCAACTGCCATGCACGTTGATGCTTTGAACGCTCCTTGCGATAACCTGGTAGTCGGTTTGACCGACTTTTCAGGAGGCGATCTTTGGGTCGAATGGCCCGCTACGGTTCCTCGGAATCCTCACCTCAGGTATGAAACTCGTGAGTTCGATTCAGGTTCGGCCCTCGGGGCCCTCCTTCCGGTGTCACAGCATCCAGCTCTGTTCTGTGCCAAGCGCTTGCGGCATGAGACCTGTCCTTTTAAGGGTCGTAGGGTTATTCTAGTTGCGTATAGCTTGCAGGCTTCCGATCAAGCCAGTTCCGAAGATCAGGGAGCCCTGATCGACTTGGGCTTTCGCCTGCCTGGGCCTGGTGACTTGCAGAACCCTAACCCTAATCCCCCTAGGCTGCTGCATGGCACGGATGGCGCCCCTCGCGCTTCGGCCTCCTTCGCTCAGGTGTTCTCAGGTGATGGGGCTTTGGCCTCAAGCTTCAACAGAATAGGATGGCAGACCATAGCGATCGATCAACATGTGGTTCCGGGGCGACACAAGCACCAGCCCCTTGTTTGTGAGTTGTCGAGTCCCACTGGCCAGGACTTTGCTTTGCATATTCTAGAGGACTTTGGGCCGACCTTTGTGTACATCCGGCCTCCCTGTCGCACTGCGAACAAAGCCCGTGCCAGGTCATTGCCGTCTTCACACCCAGCAGTTGACAAGTGCCCGCCTTTGAGGTCGCATGACAAGCCCTGGGGTCTTGCAGACCTTAACCCTAGACAGTCGGCGCAGGTTCAAGCAGAAAATCGCCTCTTCCGCTTCTGTGCCAAGGTTCTCGTGTGGGCCCTCGCTAAAGGGGCCTTCGTTTGCATTGAGAACCCTGATGGCTCCCTGTTTTGGAGCTGCCTTGAATCTCTTCCAGAGTTTCAGTCTTGTCAGGCCTCCCTGGAGGCTTTCTGCGGTGACATGTGCATGCTTGGAGGTTCTAGGCCAGCTTCGATCAGGTTCCTCACCAACATTTCTGCGCTTCGTTCACTTGTTCACATGTGCCCCGGAGTGGGCGACGGGCACAAGCATGCCCCCTTTGGGTTTTTGTGCAAAAACGAACAACACCCTTCACAGTTTGTGCAACTTGTGATCCAGGCTTGTTGTCATGAGATCTCTTTCACTCCACCTCCTGCCCTGGCTCGGCCAGGCGATGAGGTGCGACAGACACGTAAGTCTCGTCAGCTTATGCCTGAGTTTTCCAGCATCAAGTGGCTGCGTCGTGATGACTTGCCTAGCTGCCCTCATAAATGCCTCCGGCCGGAGCAGGGGGCCCATCGCGGGGCCTTCAGCTTTTCTGAGGGGTCTTTTGAGGGTCTTTTGGGTTCGTCGGTTTCTTCTGGGCCCCCTTCGGTTTCGACTTCGGAGGTTTCTGACAAGATCCCCATAGGCATTTATGCGACTCCTGAGGAGTTCGTGCAGCGAGCTCGTGCTCTTCAACACCCGATGGCGGGTCCCAGCGTTGTCACGGACTCCTTCAAGAGAGCCCTGTTCGCCAACCTCACTAAAACCCCTGCCGAGGTTGCAAGCTTGAGAGCCTCCTTCCTTGAGCATGTGACACATTTGACGGAGAAGCTTAGCCCCGACGAGGAGGCTCTACATCGCTCTTTCTCTCCTGAGCTTCAGAAGGTTCTTAAGGGAAAACGACTTCTCCTCTTTAAGACCTTGCTGGAAGAGTACCGGTACGACGATGTTGAGGTCTGGGAGATGCTTCGGGACGGCCCTTCCTTGACTGGCACTCAGGACCACCCTCCCTATGCCGATCGTAGTTTTCGACCGGCAACAGTCAGCACCGAACAGCTGGAGCGTGAATCTTCCTGGAGGCGAAAATTTGTGACCTCCAAAACTTCTTCACCCCAGGATGCTGCTACTCTGACTTCTCTTGGTGAAGGTGAGGTTTCGGCTGGATTCATTTCGGGACCATATCGAACAACGGCAGAAGTTACTGAGGCTTTGGGAAGGCCAGACTGGATTGCGACGCCACGCTTTGTTTTGCTTCAGGGCTCCAAGGCCAAGCCCCGGGTTATCGACGATTGCAAATCTTCGGGTCTGAACTCATCCTTCTCCTCCACGGAGCGCCTTCGTCTGCAAGACCTCGACTATGTGGTGGCGATGATCAAGCTGGCTGGCAAGATGTCGGGTCGGCATAAAATTCGTATGGATCTTTCCACTGGTGATGTGCTCTGCGGTGATCGAGTACTTCCCTCCGGCTCTGAGTGGCTTGGTCGATGTGTGGATCTAGCCAAAGCTTACAAGCAGATGGCTGTTCCGCGTTCCCAGCGCCACTTGGTGGTGCTCTGCCACCACGATGAACAAGGACTGCCTCTGTACTACATCTCGGAGTCCCTCCCCTTTGGAGCTGAGGGGTCGGTGTATGGATTCGTGCGCATGAGCCGAGCACTCTCATTTCTTATGAATGAGGCCATCTTGGTGCCGAGCTCGGTGTACTTCGACGACTTCCCAGCGATATCTCCTAAGGCTTCGTCAGCATCGGCTACCGCTGCCATTAAATTCTTGCTGTCCGCCCTCGGTTGGAGGTTCTCTACAGATCCAGATAAGGCGCGAGATTTCGATTCCATTTTCGATGTGTTGGGCTGCACCCTTGACTTGTCGGGCCTGGCCGGACCTTTCGGCTTCTTGGAGGTTCGCAACAAGCCTCGGCGGATCGAGCACATCATCGAGCTGCTGGACGAGTTGGGCAGCGGCCGGGGTGACTTCCGACTAGTTCCTGTGGTACAAGGTCAGCTCAACTTTGCATCGAACTTCGTTCTTGGTCGAGCCGTCGCTCCCCTTTCGCGAGCCTTGAGCTCTTCGAGCTCCGTTGAGATGAAGAGCTTGTGTGAGCGAATTCGCGATCTCCTGCGAGGGGCTCGTCCGAGGAGAGTGTCGTGGCACTCCCCGGATGCTCCTATTCTCATCTTCACTGATGCTGCTTTCGAGAAGGGGTTAGCAACCGTTGGCGCCGTCGTCATCGACACGATGGGTGGCCCGGCTTCCATTTATGACGGAGTTCTCCCCTCGTCTTTGGTGTCATCGTGGCAACGCTATGACGACGAGCAGATCATATGCCAGGCTGAATTGGCCGCAGCAGTCTGCATCCGCCACCGAGAACGCTACCGACTGACCGGCAGAAAATGCATTTACTTCATCGATAACGAAAGTGCCCGATACGCGCTCATCCGAGCGGTATCGGGAGTTCCCTCGATGCAATCCTTGGCCTCGTCATTTCACATGTGTGATCTGGACCATCCTCACTATCCTTGGATAGAGAGGGTGCCTTCGACCTCTAACCCAGCCGATCTCCCTTCGAGGGGGCGCATCAACGACTGCATTAGGCTTCTTGAAGGACGACATGCAGGCAGCTTATGTATGCCGCCGGAGTTGGAAGACTTTGACCCGATGGGCGATTTCAAACCCCTTCGTGATGATGGGCCAACTTCGATACTGGCAATAGCTGCTGCAAAAGACTAGTGCCCGAGTGCCTATGGGGTGCTTTCGGTCGGACACTTCGTCTTGTGCATTCGTGCCCCCGCGGGGGGCTGCACACCGTGTCCTTCAGTGCCTGATGCATAGAACTCCAAACGAACTCGATGCATGCCCCGACCGTTGAAAAAGATGTGAGCCGCCTTTGCATCCACTCTCATGTTGTGCCGACTTGAGCTGTGCATTCGTCAAGACATGTTTGTATGTCAAGTTTAATGGGCTTCGCCCTTAACGCGCTACTTCGCTAGCCCCTAGGTCTTTCCTTTTGGAAAACCCCCAAACAAAGAAGGTCAGCGTCAACGAAGTTGATATACCTTTCTTTGGGTGGGGCAGCGAGGTAACGAGCGGTTTTCCATTTGTCCAAGCTTTGGTTGCTGACATTCCAAACCAACAACAACAGTTCTGAATCTTTTGTATGAAATCGTCATGGAATTTACATGATGACTTTTGTACTTTTTTTATGGAACAACGTCCGTTCCTTCATGTCGACATGATTTCACTTGTAAACTTGTACATGCTTTGAAGAGAGTGCCCGCGCACCGTTTTCGCATCAAGCTCGGGCAATCGTATTGCGAACTTTTTCTTCCCGCCCTCCTCTCCCTTGAATAATGGAAGGGGGGTGCTTTCGGTCGGACACTTCGTCTTGTGCATTCGTGCCCCCGCGGGGGGCTGCACACCGTGTCCTTCAGTGCCTGATGCATAGAACTCCAAACGAACTCGATGCATGCCCCGACCGTTGAAAAAGATGTGAGCCGCCTTTGCATCCACTCTCATGTTGTGCCGACTTGAGCTGTGCATTCGTCAAGACATGTTTGTATGTCAAGTTTAATGGGCTTCGCCCTTAACGCGCTACTTCGCTAGCCCCTAGGCCCTAGGTCTTTCCTTTTGGAAAACCCCCAAACAAAGAAGATGGCCGAGTTCTCAGGGAAGACTAGCGAGTACCAGAGGAAGGCCACCGCGCTGGAAGCCAAAGTGAAAAAACGGCAAAACCGGCCATCTGAAACTGATGAGCTGGCAGGAAGGCAGAAGGAGCTTGCGAGCATGCTTCACGCAGCGGCAACAGTGTTTCAGCTGTCAGCTAAGAGATCGCCCAACACAGACAAGATGGAGCAGATCCTGACAACTTTGAGACATGAAGGCTTGGAGGCAGGACTTAAGATTCGCGAAGTTTTTGAGTTTTGTGTATGTTTACCAGTATAGGCTGGCGGCTGGCTGATAATCCATAGTCCATAGTCCATAGTCTATAGTCTATAGTCTATAGTCTATAGTCTATAACTGTAGGCTGTTTGGATCCTGCAGGTGCCCATGGCCTGGTGTGACTTGCTGCTCCAAGAGAAGCTCGCGGAATGCTTGCGCTTCAAGAAGTTGGACGAGTTTGCGCACACGTGCCAGCCAGGGAAAGGTCCTTTCGAGGGAGTTGCAGACGAGCGAGCTGACGTGATGCAAGCCTGCATTCACAAGTGCCTTGGCCAAATTTTGTGCGACCTTGTTCCGGATCCGGCTGTCAGCCAGAAGAAGAACAAGAAGGGAGCAGCAACTGCGAAAGAAAGGAACGCTCAAATCCAGACAATGCTGGATCTGGCCTTGCGTTTGGTGGAGGAAAACGCACTGCCGGAGGAGATGTTGCGAGACTTGGACATCCTAGCCGATGCACTTGATGAGAAAAGAGCGGACCATGCTACTGCGCACAACCGGCTGTCAGCCTGGAAGCAGGACGACGAGTACTTTGGTGTTTTGCGGCCAGTGGTCAGAAATGAGCACTGGTCTGCGCTCGTCCAGCAGTTTTCCGCCCCAGCCTCCGCCGCCTCGACCTCTGCCTGCCTCCGTTCTGCTTGCAACAAGGTGAACGGGAACACGTCGCCAGTGTCAGAACAGGACAGAGGCGAACTTGTGGGCGCACTCCAGGGCTCGGCTGAGCAACCGGCCGATTATGACTATCTGAATAGCGTGTTGTGCGGTCTGCAGCTGTTGGCAGAAGAAGCAAACAAGCAGCAAAAGGACTTTGTTCTGCGCGTTTGCAAAGACATTTGCGGCCGTGGTGTGTCTGCTTCAGATTTTCATGGGGATGAGGATTTGATGGAGCAGATGTTCGCGAAAGGTCACTGGGAAGTTTCGGTTGTGAAGAACGCAATTTCAGAGAGTGCAGCAGAGCAGCAACACAAGAACACGGTGCTGCAAACCTGCGAGAAGCTTGCGGCAGCGAGCAGCAAAGTTTGCCTGTGGCATGGGTTGCTGAACGCCATACTGACTTTGGCCAAGACGGCGCAGGAGCATGCGGACAATGGGTTGGATGCAAACGTCCAGAACAATTTGGTGCAGTGCTGGAGTGAGGTGAAACACCGACTGCAGACAGACCCGGAGATAGCCGCAGCAGCTCAGCCCGTCAAGGAGGCCTTGGAGAACTTGCTGAACGCCACGAAGACTGAGCAAGTGGGACCTCAGGTCTACGAAGGCGCCATGACGGAGCTCCGGCTGTCAGCCATGGAACTGCTGAGGCTTGCCAAAGAGCGCCGCAAGCCAGAAGTGCAGGAAGCTGCTAGCAACTTGCGAAAACTCGAGCATCGCTGCATGCAGTGCTGCTCGCTGTCAGACACGCCGGTCTTCGCTAGGTCTTGCGTCAGCCTTGTCACCACCGAGTTCGCCGGTGTGTGTGAGGTGTTGCCTTCCGCTGCCAGCGAGCAAATACCGGATGATATTTTGAACAGCTCGGTTATGCAGCACTTGCGAGCCGCCAATGACAAGGAGACCAACAAGCAGAAGCTGGTGCATGTGCTGCACTCTAGCGGCTGCGAGCAGTTCTTGGAGCAAGCGTCCAAGCTACTGGAAAGGCTGGAGCCACTTTTCACAGCTAAGAATCTTAAGAAGGTGTCACTTGAAAAGCTCCTCGTGGAGGCTGCTGCCAGTGCAAAAGCCAAGCTGGTTAATCCCCACATGGGCATGGATGAGTTCTTGCAGTCCGCAGCCTCTGGTGAAGCTCTCAAGAAAGCCTTGAAGCAACTGCGTGCAGCGGAAAGGGACATGCAAGGCCACGGCATGCTACAGGACGGCTCTGAGCTGCAGCGCGACGTCTCTGAAGTCAAGGCGTCTTGCCGTTTGCAGATCATCAAATGGGGAATCGTGACTTTGGTCGCCAATGCCGACATCGTGGCGGACAACAGCAAGGGGAAGGGCCTCAGGAAAACTTTGCGGGACGTCTGGAACAGTCATTGTGATGATGGTGATGTCAAGAGTGTCCTGGGGCAGGCGGTAGTGGACTTGGTAGAGCAGTCGTTGGCGACACCAGAGAAGACCGAGGACCCCGGCGCCGTTGCGCCCAAGAAGCGTGGTAAAAAAAAGTAGGTCTGCGACTGACAGCCAGCGCCACGACGACTACGAGTCACTACACGTCCGGCTGACAGCCAGCCACCTGCCAACTTTGCGCTGCAACGTCCGGCTGACAGCCAGCTCCTGCGAGCTCTGCGCTGCTGCGTCCGGCTGCCAGCCAGGCACGGCGAGTTCTGCGCTGCAGCGTAGAGAGTCTGAGTCGTTTTTGAAACTCCTCCTTTTCCTGTCGGCCCGGTTCCTAGCCCGTAGCCCCAAAGTGCGACAGCGTTCCAAGCTAGGCTAAACCGCAAAACCTCACACTCAGCCGGGCTGTCAGCAAGGGGGGTTGCCGACGTCACTGTCACTGCGAGTTGTGTGCAGAAGAAATGAGTGCCAGGGATTCATGAGTCATTCGTCATTAAATAACTTGCTTAATAGTTAATAGTAAGTAATATGAATCTGAGTATGAATATTAATATTTATATTATATTCATATTAATATTACTATTAATATACTATATTAATAATAATTATTTATCTTAAATATGAATCTGAATGAATATATAATATTTATATATCATATAATTGTGTGATTTTTAGTATTATTATTGTTATATAATATATATATATATATATAATATATATATACATATTAATTTCCGGAATTTCCGGCAAATCATGAAATTCATGAAAGCCGAATTTCCGGAATTTCCGGCAAATCCTAAAATTCATGAAATCCGAATTTCCGGAATTTCCGGCGAATCACGAAATTCATGAAATCCGAATTTCCGGAATTTCCGGAAAATCATGAAATTCATGAAAGCCGAATTTCCGGAATTTCCAGAAAATCATGAAATTCATGAAAGCCGATTTTCCGGAATTTCCGGAAAATCATGAAATTCATGAAAGCCGATTTTCCGGAATTTCCGGAAAATCATGAATTTCATGAAAGCCGATTTTCCTGAATTTCCGGAATTTCCGGAAAATCATGAAATTCATGAAAGCCGATTTTCCGGAATTTCCGGAAATTCATAGTATTGGAATGATTGGAATTATTGGAATTTCAGGAATTTCCGGAAATTCATGATATTCGAATTATCGGAATTTCAGGAATTTCCGGCAAAACGAGCAACATGAATTTCCGGATGGACGCTAAACCATCTTCCAGAAGCAAGCTCTTGGATTCACACAAGACATAGACATTGTTACATTGACATAGACATAGACTATAGACTATAGACAGTGACATAGACTATAGACTATAGACTGTAGACTGTAGACTATGACTATAGGCTATAGACTATAGACTATAGACTATAGACGGACTATAGACTATAGACTATAGACTATAGACATGTGACATAGACATTGTGACTTGAGACATTGACATAGACACATAGACGTGGAAGTGTCGTGACATGTGACATGTGACCCGACAACTCAGACGACTCTTACCCTTCCCGCCCTTCCCCAGTCCCTCTGCCCAAACCGACGGAATTTTTTGGCGCCACCCGTGCACTCGGCTTTGAGTCAAGCGCCGCGCGCCGGCAGCGTGGAGGCCTGGCTGACAGCCGAAGGCACGTTGTGAGGGAGCCGCCGAGCTGCGCTGCTGGCCGCCGTGGCAACCGTGGTTGGAGGCCTGGCTGACAGCCGAAGGACCGAAGGAGGCCTGGCTAACAGCCGAAGGCACGCTGGCACGCTTTTGCCTGGCTGACAGCCGAAGGCACCGCTGCTACTTGGTACTTCTGGCTGACAGCCGAAAGCAGAAGCACTGGCCTTGCTGACAGCAGAAACTCAGCGCCACTGCCTGTACCTTTCACCGCGATCCCTGCGTGCCTGGCTCGCGTGCGTGTCGCCCCTTTCGTCTCTGGTCTGGCGGGAGCGATCGGGGAACATGGCTCTTGAGGAGGGCCCCTGCGCGCCTGTGCCCCTGAGGTTGTGCTGACGCCGCAGGTACTCGCGCATCTCGGCACCTAGAGGACGAAATGTCTCTTATAATTCCCCGAAAGGTAACTAGTGAAAATGTGCGGCGCTGAATGTTTCTTAATTTCCTCTAGTACGACCTAACATAATTATGAGGATTTGAAATGCACTTTATTTTCCCTATTGACAAGTCACGGATTGTGAAAGAACGAAATGTCTGTTATTTTCCATCATGATATGGTATGATATATATATATATATACATATATATATTTATATTTATATTTATATTTATATTGTGCAAGAACGAAATGTCTGTTATTTTCCATCATGATATGATATGATATGATATCATATGATAGGATAGGATATGATATGATATGATATATATATATATATACATATATATATATATATATAAATATTGTGAAAGAACGAAATATCTGTTATTTTCCATCATGATATATATATATATATATATATAGGTAATAGTATACATATTTGGCATGACTTGACTTGCTTTGGCATGGCATGACTTGCTTGCTGCTGCTACTACTACTACTATGCTACTGCTACTACTACTACTAGTACTAGTACTAGTACTAGTACTAGTACTACTACTACTACTACTACTACTACTACTACTACTACTAGTAGTACTACTACTACTACTACTACTAGTACTACTATGTATTTTTGACATGGTTTGACTTGCTTGGCATGGCGTGAAGTGATTGGCATGGCTTGAATTGAGTGGCATGGCTTGAAATTTGTTAGCAAGTTTGTTCGTGTGTGACGGGCAATGGATAGATGCTTTGCACGGTTTCACGCTGGGCGCGAAGCTGTGCTGGGCAGAGCCATGTCCCAGCTCGAGGCAGGCTCACTCCGTATATGGCGACGATCGCGATTTTAGGGTTATTAGGGCTTAGGGGTTTAGGGTTTACATGTAGGGTTTATAATTTCATATCAAGTTATATAGTAAGGGCTCATACAATATAGAGAGGATAATGGACAGTCCAATTAGGGTTTAGGAGTTTAGGGTTTATATGTAGGGTTTACAATTTCATATCAAGTTATATAGTAAGGGCTCGTACAATATAGAGAGGATATAATGGACAGTCCAATATATTCTGGCGCAATACTCAGATAAGTGGGCTACACAGCCGATTGTAAGGCAAAATGAAGAGCGTATGGTGCATTTCCGCGCATTACTCAGAATTACTCAGAAAGGGCGATTTGTATGAATTTACCGGGCGTTTGTAGGAATTTACCGTGCGTTTGTAGGAATTTACCGTGCGTTTGTATTGGGGCGGGTTCGGGGAATTTGCGGTGCGTATTGCGGGGAATGCGGGGGGGCTAAAAAGAGCCATCTACGGCATAGGGTCAGGCCCCCTGCACCACCAATTGATCACCACCAACTGATCAGCTTGATGATATCACTTGGGATCGAAAGCAAACAAGCCAAGCCATGCCATGCCATGCCTCGTCATGCTTTAAGTATGTACATACCTACATAGTAGCAATAGGTAAAAACCTGCATAATACAGAAGACCTATATGATAGAGTGGATATAGTACATGCGTATATAATCAATTTGGGCTTTGTTGATGCCTTAATTAAGAACGGCCGCCCAGGTCGAAGCCGGGATGGTCTTGCTTCAGATCATGTTGTGAATGCCATCATGTTTGGATGTTGCCATGCTTGTTTGCTTTCGAACCCAGGTGGTATCATCAAGCTGATCAATCGGTGGTGCAGGGGGCCTGACCCTAGATGCCGTAGATGGCTCTTTTTAGCCCACCCCGCATTCCCCGCAATACGCACCCTAAATTCCCCGAACCCGCCCCCATACAAATGACCGGTAAATTCATACAAATGACCGGTAAATTCCTACAAATGACCGGTAAATTCATACAAATCGCCCTTTCTGAGTAATTCTGAGTAATGCGCGGAAATGCACCATACGCTCTTCATTTTGCCTTACAATCGGCTGTGTAGCCCACTTATCTGAGTATTGCGCCAGAATATATTGGACTGTCCATTATATCCTCTCTATATTGTATGAGCCCTTACTATATAACTTGATATGAAATTGTAAACCCTACATATAAACCCTAAACCCCTAAAATCTACTCTGCCTCGTGTACAAAAGCCACGTGCTGCTTGCTTCTAGCATGTCATGCATGCACCATGTGTTGAGCTTGGCATGTCTTGCTGTTGTTGTTGTTGTAGGTTTTTGGCTGCAGGCTTTAAGTAGCTAGGTAGCCCATCATGATGGAGAAAGAAATCACAGCCTTAATGAAGACAGCAAAGCTGTCCTATGAGGAGGCTAAGTTTTGCCTTACCTCCGATTCGCCAAAAAAGGAGCCTCTAGACACCAATTGTGCATAGCTGCATGCACATTCTGAGCTCATCGGCATATTGCCACCTAGGCCGAAGCTGTGGAAAGGTGCTTCGAAGCTGACACCTCCTAGGAGGATCCGAGAAAAGTCAGCCCCTCGATCGGCATCCTCGGGCGGCTCGGGGATCTGTAGATCGTGACGGTGCATGGGTATACGAAGGGCATGTTCATGAGAATTAAAAGAAGAAGAAGCAAAAGCAACCCAAAGAGGAAGAGCATGCAGTGCCAGCAACAAGCAACAAAAAGAGCAAGAAGAAGGAGAAGAAGGAAGCAAAGGAAAGCAAGGCTGCAAAGGTTCCCATGGATGAAATGGACACCCAGGAGTGGGATGCTGAGGATATGGGGCCACACCATTTTGCAAAGAAGTCTCGTCAATTGCAAGACGGCATTGGATGAGCTTGCTGAAAATGTTGCTGCAAGAATATTGCCTGCCTGCATTTGCAAGTGCATCGCAACAGCTGCTGTGCCATGCCATGTTTTGATTTGTGTTGCACATGCTGTCATGCCATGCATTGCAATTAGTACTAGAATTAGAATTAAAACTATAATATTCGTAACACTAGTAGTAGTAGTAGTAGTAGTAGTAGTAGTAGTAGTGGTAGTAGTAGTAGTAGTAGCAGTAGTAGTAGTAGTAGTAGTAGCAGCAAACAAGTCATGCTATACCAAAAGCAAGTCAAGTCATGCCAAGTATTTTAGTAGTAGGACATAGTAGTAG